ACCTCTTTCCACTCACTTGATACTTGATGGGTTCTTTGCAGAAACTCTGAACACCATTTGAGTCTAACTGACTCTATACTGAGGTTGTTGATAGCATCTTGGGGCTATAGCATTATTTCAAGATCACAACACATCCATTTAACTCACTTATTACATTTTACCTCTCCAGTTCTATGGGAAAAATGATCCCTTGACCTTAACACTCTACGAAACAACAAGCAAACAAACAAAAATGTTCCCAGCTTATCCTGTTTTATTAAACACAGGAAATGCTGGAGGGTGGACCATAGTTTCTCCCCAGGCAGAAGCCTAAGGCAGGAGAGTTTCCGAATGTCAGGAAAATGAAGCTCCTTCTTCCTCAATACCTGAGTACTATTATTTGTGCCTCTCAAAATGAGGGCAAAAAACAAGGCTCAAAGCATTTTAAACTGCGTAAGTTACATGGTAACTGTCTCAGTGAGGGAGAGGAAGAGGAGACCCCTGTTCCTGAGTGCCTTGCACTGTGAATGCTTTGCTAGCTGCCTTTGCATACATTATCCTGCCAGTGCTCTCCGTCCTCCTCAGAAATTATCCCCAGGATTACATGAACTCCATCTCACAAAAGAGGGACTAGATTTTCTGAATATTTGCATAATTTTCCCAAGATGACACGCAAGGTACTTTAGATCAAGGTACTTTGATCTCTTTGTCATTCCTCAGGGGGAAAAAAAGGTTGTTGTTGTTGTAAAGCCTTGGAAGGTCTTGGTAAGAACAAGGTAACATTAATTATCCTAAATTTTCTCATCCATTTGCCCCAAACTGTCTCCAATCAGGCAAGATTTGGAATTAAATCCTGATCCCAGGTCCCAGATCCAATGTCCAGCTTCCGGTATGAAGGCTGCATGTTCTCTCTCACACAGGTTTCTTCCAGGCTGGTGCCAGAGCAATGGCCATGAGCACAGTTCTCTAATGAAGCGATCCTTTTCTCCATGTCATTCTAGTTTGCAGAGCTGGATTTCTGATCAACTCACTCTGAGTTCTGAGAGACTGCTTAGTCTTTCTAAGACTACAGTCTGGCTACTATAAATCCCTGCCCATAACCCAGTACAACCTGCCTCTTCCGGGAAGCAGATCCTGCTCCCAGGGGCCTGGCCAGGCTCCTCCGTCTGCATTCCTCCAGTCCTAATTCACCGCTTATCTTTGCACTTCCAATGTTTCTACAAATCAGAGGTTACAAACAAGGGTCCACAGACTCCACACAGGTAAATGTAAATGAGCGAAGATGGACAGACAATCTGAGATGAATTAGGGAAGAATTACTGGGTCTATGGCTCTAGAGGGGAGAGCTGCTCATGTATAATCATTTGAGAATGTGGGCCCAGTGTTATCACCTTTATGGATTTTTAAAGAGAAGATAAAAATCCCAATTTTTATGTAAAATTAGTAATTAATCCAGTGGTATTTTCTTTTTCTGTTATGTGAACACAAAAACCTGTACACTACCCATAGTCCTTCAGTTTATGATTTCTGCTTCAGATAATTGCTAGCCCCGGCTTACAAAGTATTATTCTCACAGACTGAAAAAGCCTTACATTAGGAGAGGTGAGTCAGCAACATAATTTGATGCTTGAGAATTAATTATGGAAAATTCCGATAACCACATGAATGCATTTCCCAAGTAGTGTAACTAATATCAAGGGACAGTTCTCTGCAAGTCTCTCATGTTTCTACATATCTTATGAGTGGAGACACTGACAGCCTTTGTTTCAGACAATCTGTTCAGGAATGTTTTATATAACAAACTAGAGGCCCGGTGCACAGATTCATGCACCAGTGGGGTCCCTCGGCCTGGCCTGCGGGGATCGGCCTGAAACTGGCTCTCCGACATTCCCAAGGGGTCCCAGATTGTGTGAGGGCACAGGCCAAGCCAAGGGACCCCACCGGTGCACAATGGGGACTGGGGAGGGAGCACAGGAGGGCTGCAGGGCATGTCCCACCTGTCTCGCCCACTCCCTGTTGCTGGACCACAGCAGCAAGCTAATCTACAGGTTGGAGCGTCTTCCCCCTGGTGGCCAGTGTGCATCATAGCGACTGGTTGAACAGTCGGACACTTAGCATATTAGGCTTTTATATATATAGATAGCCTTGGAAGAGAGATATGGAGTCTCTCTCTAGAGCGATGCTAACTTCCCATTATAAAATATTCATGTTTCCTAAACTCAGGGTTCCTCTCATATACTGCAACCTACTGCCCCATTTGTGTCCATCGATGAGATTTATGCCTCAGGGATACAGTGAAAATGCTAATACGCTGATATTTGTTACTATTGTGCTTACTAAGCCCCTGGTCTCTGGTTCAGGAGAGTCATGTCTTCTGCCAGCATCTATAAAACATTGGCAGACTAGCATGTTAAGATGCAAATAGGGTAAAATCTCAAGTCCTTCATAGTTCTTGAAAATTGATATTAGCTTTTCTTCCATTCTGAACTCTGGCTATAGCAGCTACTCTAAAATTAAAAGCCTACTGTCTTCTATACTGGTTACCACATTTCCCTGAATCAATATATCTCTATCTTGCTTTTGAAAGCACAGCATTGCTTTATGCTCCATCAAAAACAATCATGAACTCCCATTTCAAACACCTAAATCTCTCCCTATCTTTCTTTCAGGCTATTTTGGCCTCCATCTTCAACTTCAGAGAATAGCCTGATGCTGAGCAATACAGCAAAACAACTGAGCAAAGAGACTGGCAAGCTATACAGCTTTGGTTTGAAACTATTGCTACCAACTGGCAATATTCTCTTAGACAAGTTAATCAATCAATTCATGCCTCAGTTTTCTTCTCTCCACAAATAAAAATAATAATAGTAACTAACTCTCAACATTACTTGAGAATTAAATAAGTTTTTGTGTTTAATGTGCTTAGAATAGCATCTGGTACATAGTGAGAAGGCAATAAATGTAACCAGTTACTCACCTGAATATTTTTCCAATAAGTTCCGTAAAGGACCGCCTTAAAAGCAGATTGTAATTTACAGTATAACCCTCTCACTTTGAAGATGAATGGTAAATAATGTAGGGCTGTGTATGTATTTGGTCCTTTCCAAATTCAATAAAGACATATTATTCCCATAGGTTTTCCCATTTGAAAAACTAACATCTCATCTCCCAGTCTTCTCCAACGGACATGAAAGACCTTGCAGCAACCCCTCTCAAGTCAAGTTGTAAATGTATAAATGTGTACAAAATGTACAAATGTACACATAAAGGTTTTATTTAAAATGCCAAACTACTCTTCCATAGATAGCCTTGTATACTCAGGATGCCTAACTGCTATTGGTGGGGTGTCCTCTATTTCCCCACCATTGCCAGTGGAAGTGGACTTCTTGGGGTGTTGCTGGAATAAGAATTTCCAGAGGCCCTCACAGGAGGATGAGGTATCCTGGCAAGTGTTATGTCTGTGGAATTAAATCCCTGAGTTTCCAAGGTCCCCTCTCCCTCCATCCTGCCAAGGAAAAAGTCCCATTTCATCTTCAGCAGAGCTAGAATTAAAGCCAGAGCTCAGAGTTTCTGCTCCATATTTGCACAGTCCAGTCCAGCATCTGGCTAGGTTAGCTTATGTTCCCAGCTGCAGTTCACTGTGTGTAGGATCCACATGGCCATGGGCCATGCAGCTTCTAGGGCCACATGGCTAGGGAGGGAACATGGATGAGTGCAAGGAAGCAGAACAAAAGAGAGAAATCCTTTGTCTGGGGATTATGTATTCCCAAATTTTTGTGGGCTTGCATTGGGATCTACCCCTCTAGACAATGATCTTTGTCCTCCAATTAGACTGACAGGCAAGTACCTTCCCTATGTCACCCCAATTCACTGTACATGTGCCCATATTCCCTTTTGTCTAGTCTCTTCCCCCAGGAATCTGCAGGGGATGGGCCAGTGGTTTCCTGGGGAGTGTGTAATTGCAACTTCCTGGTGAAGCTGCCCAGATGGCCATGTTTATTAGTATAATGTCTGGCCTTCCCTTTTCTCCTTTCCTATTATTACTAACTAGCAAATTACAATGGTAACATAACTATTACCAGTTTTCTTCACAGCCATAACCAAAAACTCAATTCACCAAATATCACTTGTCTGAAGCATTGTTTCCATTGTTGTATTTACTGTACAACGGCACAATTAAAAACAAAAATTCCAAAGGAGTAAAAGAGGGAAAAGCTACAAAAGCTTTTGATTTGATTTTCCTACACTTTCCCCCCTCCTTATTTTTCAAGCAGCTAATCCCCCCTCAAGCTGTACAATAGAACAGCTAGACATAAAGGCAAGGAGATAAAACTGGCCAGCCAGTGCATTGTTCTTGCTAATCTGCACCATTTACATAAGGGTTAGAAGGCTTGTTTTATCATTTAAACAGGCTTAAAAGCCTCTTTGCAAATGAGATTTAGTGCCTACAGAAGAATGAGTTCTATCTATTTGGTGAGTTTCTGCTGGACCAGCACTGGGAGCTGACTTGGCAGTAACTTAAGCTACTTCTTTGGCCTCATCCAGTATATGCAAAGATTGCTTCCAGCTGCCAAAACTGAAAAGCCTCAAGCTGATTAAATTCTTTCCAGGAGGTGAAAAGGATAAGGAGCAGGTTAAGAGGCCAATAGTATTAGATTTTAGACTGTACCTGGGCAAACTTGTGCCTAATGCAGGTGCTTTAGGAGTAGCTTTGAGTTTTTCCCCTGGAATCTTCCTTTGAAAAGGAATAGAAGGGCAGACAGCAAATGAGATTCAGAAACTGAGACTTAAAACAGTCCCAAACTGTGAAGTGAGGACAATCTAAACTCTTCGATTCATTGTTGGTCTGAGTGGCACGGGGCACAAGGATCAACAGCACAGCAAACTCCCTTGCCGGTTAGCACGGAAGATAACGAGGAGGAAAAAATTTTCTTTACACAAAGTACATGCTTTACATCAAAACCTTAGATTTTAAAAATCAAAATCACATTGATATATACTACACCTATAATATGTTTTACCTGGCACACCTTGAACAGATGTTCAGTGTGACCTTGGCCTGAAGTTCAACAGGGTGAGTAGCACGACCTAGATTAAATTTGCTCCCAGAAGGTGCCAGAGTAGTCACTCCCTCCATTCTTAAATCATCAAGATCCTCTGGAACAACACAAACAATTTCAGAGAGAAAAATTAAATTTTAATAGTATTAAGGAGAGAAGTCCATGTGTTCAGGTGTCTGCAAGTAGTTTATAAGTTAAAACATTACATTTCCACTTTGCAAAAATCTTCCCTTATGCATCAATTATTATTTAATCATTTCTAGATGTTGTTAGAGACAAATTATATGAGAAGATTTATAGGAAGCCAAACCACAACCTCTGCAGCAATTGGACCAAAATAGTCAGGACTAGGGCGATGGCTACCAGCTTCCCTTCCTTTTGTCTTTACTTACAACTCAGAACAAACCAGAAAATGACAACCATGTTCCCAACTGATTACAAAAGATTCTTTGCTTCTAATTAGCCTGCCTTCTGCTTCCTCATCCAACAATCTCCAACCAGAACGTATCTGAAACTTTCTTTTTTTCCATTCTAAATCTTTTCTTCTTGTCTTCACCTGGGGAGGAGAATATTGTTCTCTGAAGTCCCTTCCTATTTTTCCCAAATTCTCAATCAAGACTTAAAAGGTCTAAGTTTCCCTTGTAACTTGGTCCTGATATAATAGTACATGCTCTCCTGCTTTATTCAGAAAAAAAGGAATCATATAAAAGGTATTCCATTTACTTGCTCTCAAACTTAGCAAAAAAGGTACATAAAGTTTCAAAAGATAAATTATAATTTTGCCAAACATAATCCATTACTGCGTTTATAGCCTGTGTAAGGCAGGCAGTCTCTTTTGATAAGGCTATGGAGAACCCAAACATTGCAGAGCTCCTACAAAACTCAGAGTTCTAGGCTTAACTGGATAATGCAAACAAATTTTCCTGAGATTATAATGACTCTTAGTCCAAGTCATGAACCAACCTTCTGTAATCTGAAGAAGGCTTGCCACTCGGATCCTTCCATAGGCTTCCCCAACTGAAAATCCTTCCATCTACATGAGCAATCTGGACAAATACTTTGGGTTCTAACTCAACTTCATGGGAGTCATCAAAAACGCATCTTCTTGACCTGGTTGCAAAGGCTTATTTCCCTGTTTTAGGGAAATAGCTGCCACTTCAAAATTCTGCTTATCCAGTTCTAAGCTCCCCTCTTGATCTCAAGGTTACTCAGGTAATGCAGACATTCTATTGCCTGAGAACATACAGCACTTTTCTCCAGCTAATTAACCTCTCATGAGAATGTGCTAACATTCCCTCACATCACCCTTCACCACTGCAACACCCTGACCTACCAGAACAAGGAACCTCACAATTTTCTTACCTCAGTTAGAAAATGTGCCTGCCTCACCTAGGTTTTTTAATAACTGAAAACTTGACCTAATATTATTCGTTGATAGATCATACATCAAAATTTGACCTAATATTATTCGTTGATATATCGAAACTTGAAACTGGAATGGAATATGCTACCACCAACTTAAGTTTGCCTTTAGAATACAATCCTTTGGGTATTGCACTTACTTAAGCTTGTCCACCAGCCAAAGACCACAGAATGAATATATATTTATATATATTTTTTTTTCTTTTTTTTAAAATATGACTTGGGATGCTTTGAAAACAAAGGTGTTCTCAACTCTGCTGAAAATCCTATCAAAAATGAACAAGCGTCCTAGCCAGTTTGGCTCAGTGGATAGAGCATCAGCCCATGAACTGAAGGGTCCCAGGTTTAATTCTGGTCAAGGACACATACCTAGGTTGCAGGCTCAGTCCCTGGCCCTGGTCAGGGTACATGCAGCAAGTAGCCAATCAATGTCTCTCTCTCACATCGATGTTTCTCTCTCTCTCTCTCTGTCTCTCCCCCTCCCTTCCACTCTCTTAAAAATCAATGGAAAAATATGCTGGGGTGAATATTAACAACAACAAAAAAAGTGAACAAACTGTTTAAGACATGTTTAGATATACTCTTATTTCATAAAGATGCAGCTATCATAAAAGCTAGGGCTCATGAAAAAATAAATAATGATGAAGCTCAAGGAAATACTCTAGCAGATCATTTTGCCAAACAAGCAACCTTAAACATAGTTATCATGCTATCTAAACTCTTTGAGGATAAATACTTAAAGGAATTCAAAGAAACTACTATGAATATCAACATCAAGCCCCTAATTCTAGAAAAAATAAAGAAAAAGTATATAGCTCTAGCTTCACTCAGATAATCTCTGGTGAAGATAGCTGTTGGGTGAGATTACTTGGTTTCAAATGGATAGTAGCTAAATCTCTCCATGAAACTTCTCATCATGATACAGATAAATTGCTTACTGTGTGGAATCACCATGACTGGGTACTTTCAAAGACAGTAGAGGTCATTTTTAAGTCATGTTTTCTTTTGTCAACAGCACAATTCTAGAAAAACTATAAGATGGGATATGGCCAGGAACAAAATCTTTAAGGGCTCTTTGAATACTGCATGAATTTTATGCAGCTTTCACACTCCACAAGATTTTAATGTTTTACTAGTAGTTATATGTTTATTTTCAGGATGGGTTGAAACACCTCTTTGGGAAAAAGCTATAGTCTTTATAGTTGCTAAAAAGCTGCCTTTTCGTTTTCAATATTGGGAATACAAACTTTTATATCAAGTACCCAAGGTACACACTTCCCAAGAAACACAAATGAACCCCTTACTCAGAAACCACGGAAAGGTGGTATCAATTACATTCTCAAATGAATTTAACAGAACTTTCAGAAACCCTTGAGCTTCCACGGACAATGGTAGTCCCACTCACCCTTATGTCAGTATGGTCTACTTCCTGAGGACACATTGTTTACTTCCCTGTGAACTGGTAACTGGAGGGCCAATGTGCTCCAGGTTTTTACCTGCTACTGAGCTCTACTCTCTGTATAACACCTCGTAAAATACTACATGAGACATGTACCATACTCAGTCCTATCACCAAGAGGTTAAGGTCACATTCAAAATATCTTCCTATAGCCTCTTCATAATATTCAACTATCATATTTTGTCCATTGGAAGATACATCTGAAAAAAATGCTCTTGAACTTCATGGAAGGGATTTTATCAAATACTATAAACTACTAATACAGAAGTAAAACTCTCTGGAGTAAAACCTTGGATTCACATTTCACAACTAAAGAAGCAATCCAGAATCAACAAAACAAGAAGCCTATTATAATAGGGGACCTCAAACAGGATTCTTTAGAATAATCCAATGACCCCAGATAGTGGACAGTTTCTGCCCAAGATGGTGGATCAAAACCCCTACTAACTCCTATTTTGTTTTTCATCTACTTACTTACAATCATTATTCTCCTTTTCTGTAGACTCCTGGTTGCTGCCCACCCACGATGGCCCCTTTTCCTCTTCGGTTTTGTTCTAGATTGGAGCGTAATCAGTCTACCACCAATCTCAGATTATTCAGCTAATGTAAGGCCATGCCATGAATAATTCCTTTACCCCTGGCTACCTGTGTGTTCCTACCAGATACTACTGGATTTCCTTTGCAGCCAGCATGGCCAGGATCACTTTCCTGCTACTAATAACTCATGTGCTTTAGGAATAGTATTGCAAAACTTACCTGTATATAGGCACCCTAATTTTATAAATCATCAATCTGGAAATTATAATTCAGACATGAGCTCCAAATGAGGCTACCCTTGATTATTCAGGCACTTTACCTGGGGGAGTTACTGTTTTACTGTTTATACAAATAAGGCAGTAACTATATATATAAAGCCCTAATACGCAAATAGACCAAACGGCGGAACAACTGAACAACCGGTCGCTATGACATGCCCTGACCACCAGGGGGCACACGCAGAATATGGCAGATGGTAGCCATGGCGTGATGGTGGAGCAGGTGAATGGGGGCACCAGACCAAGTCAGGGTGCCAGTCTCTGTCATCAGGGCGAGCCTCTGGTGGTCAATGAAAATTCTTTGCTGCTGTGTGCTGTGGTCCCACCTGGCACTTGCACCTGCTGCTGGCACTGGCCCCACGCACACCTGCTGCCGGCACTGGCCCCACGCACACCTGCTGCCAGCACCAGAGCTGCCGCTCGCACCTGGCACTGGCCCCGTTCGCTCAGCACTGTCAGTGAGCACAGCTCAGCAACTGCTGGCCCTGATCACCCCTCAGGGCCTCTCCCCCTACCCCTGCTCCTGAGGGGTGATCAGAGCAGCGGCCACTGCTCACACCCACTGCTGGTGCCAGCCCCAATCGCTCCGCATCATCTGCAGGTGCGAGCTGGGCCAGCGCTGTCAGCACATGGGAGTGGTGGCGGCGGAAGTGGGGCTGCCGGCAGACAGGGTACCGAGGGCCATGGCACGGAGGATGGGCCGAGACCCACCCTTGTGCCTACCGCAGCTTCACAGCCCACAGTTCCTTTCAAGGTGCACGAATCCATGCACTGGGCCCTAGTTTCCAATAATAGGCATCATACAAACAAAATATGTAAAGACATGTATCATTTTAACTCTGACAGAACTAATAAATAATACTACCTCTACCCTACATGAAATATAGATCAGTCTCAATGCCTTGGCAAAAACAGTTATGAACAATCTAGATTTCATATTCACTAGTCATGGTAGTATCTGCTACTGATAATATTACTTGCTGTATTTGGCTCAATGAAACAGCTAAGGTAGAAAAGATTATATATCACCTTAAGGCAAAAGCTACCTGACTCTTTAAGATTGATCTCTTATGACCTATGGGGTTGTTTCCTTGGCCTTTGTTGGACAATTTAGATTTTTGGTTTGGAAACATATTTTTCCTCCTTTCTTAAAAATATGTTTTTATTGATTGTTTATAAAGAGCAGAAGGAAGAGAGAGAGAGCAACATCAACATCAATTGTTTGACTCCTGTACCCACCCCAACCAGGACTTAACCCACAAGCTAGGTATGTGCCTTGATCAAGAACTGAAGCAGCAACTTTTTGGTAAACAGAATGATGCTCAACCCACTGAGCCACAAAGGCCAGGGCTATAGTCTACATATTTAAATCCAATAGTCACCGCGCGTAAACAATGTCCA